CAAGAGAGCCAGAGACGCTACAAAATCGCCCAAGGCCGCCCAAGATGGCCTCAAGACGGCCCATGAGGCCGCCAAGGCGGCCCAAGAGGCTTCCAAAGAGGCCTCCTAGGAGGTCCCTACGAGACAGAACACAGTGATAGCCGTTCTGTCAGATGGGACCATGCTGGACGCACGCGCGCGCACACTCATTGAGATCATAGAAAGGCATTGGTTGATGCGGGACCCTGCGGGACATGCGCGCGCAAATGGGAACCGTGCAGCAAATGTGGCGCGCCCGAGAACGCTGTCGAATGTGAACATGGGGGCCACAAGCGCGCGCCTCCGCGCGCGCACGTCGAATGCCTTCCAATACCAATGGCTGCTGAAGCAAGTCAACACAAACAGGTTTTAGAACCAACGTAAGGAGACTCATTAGCCTGTCATCCAATTCATGGCAAGAATTCGATAAGGTGTTAATGCCTGTGAACGCGCACTTCGTCATCATCGTGGCCTGCACAACCGTTATCATCGACAACATCATCATTGTCATCGTTCTCATCATCATCATCATCATCATCATCATCATCATCATCATCATCATCACCATGAGCAGCATAATTATCATCATCATCACCATCATCATCGTCGTCATCATCATCATCACCATGCGCGTCATCATTGTCACCACAACCAACATCATCGTCATCATCGATGCCGACGCAACCTTTTGCGCGCAAACTCATGTATCCTCACCAGCACCAGCGTCATCATCATCGTCGTCATCGTCATCATCGTCATTACCATCATCATCCTCGTCATCATCATCACAATCATCATCATCGTCATCACCATCAGCATCATCATCATCATCATCATCATCATCATCATCATCATCATCATCATTATCATCGCCAACGTCATCGTTGCCACCGTCATCAACATCGTCATCGACATCGCACCTGACGTCGTGATGAGCACCATCACCATCGTCATCGCCATCGACAGTGTTGCCGCCCAGCTGGGTTTTGCCACTGCGATGACCAGGTCCAATGATGCGCGTGCGTCGGAGGTTGTCACGCGCGTATGCGGTCAACAACAAAAAAAAACACAACACAAACTGCACGACTGGTACGTTTGTCTCTGGGCATCACCCAACGTGCCGTGTCTGCTGTGTCGCCGGCTCTGCCACGTGTACTCTCGACGAGCGACATACCAATCAAGCCTGGTCTCGCCCCCGGGGTCACATCGAGGCATGCGGCGCTCATTGCTTGATCTTGGGGGCGGTGTCTCTCCCAAGTACGCGCTGAATACATGCGCGCGCCGCCGCGCGCGCATGGGGTTCGAGCACTTCAGAAACATAGCTGTTTAAAAAACGCAAAAAACTGCAAACCCTCACAACAAAAAAATGTTCGACGTCTGTGCGTCCCCATCTAGTCGGATCGCACGGAAACCACATCTGGTTCACATGCGGACAGGTAGCAACATACTGGCCAAACGCGCCCGCATGCCGAAAACACCAAGCAATCATTGCGCATCCCCCAAGACTGTCAAATGCGCCGGTCCCTCGTCGTTCCAGGCGTGTGAGATTTTTCCACCCCCCATAGTCCCCACCCTCTACTTGGACCCACAAACTGGAATTGTGACCCCCCCCCTATGGCCCGACCCCGGGGAACGCGCCTTGGGCGGATTCCGGCTCTTCTGGTGTTTTTTATGGCTCCGAGACGGCTCCAAAGACACCCGCCACGATCCAAGAGGGCTCCGAGTCGCCGGCAAATCGGCCCCCAACGCTGAAGATGGCCTATAATCGGCAGCAAAAAACAAACAACGCCACAGAGGGCCTCCGAGAGCACTCCCTCAAGGAATTTCAGGGCCTCCAATCCCCCAGAAGACCTCCAAAAACCACAACACGCAAAACTGATCCCAACCCCTGAGGGAGAATTGCATTTCTAGCAGATTCGCATCCTGGGTTTTCATACCGTCCAATCGGCCCAAGGGTCCTCAGTATCACCTCCGGTCGGCCCAGGAGGCCCCAAAAGAGACGAGGGAGTGTACCTAAACCTTCGACGCTTGCGCCCACGGCTGGCGCGCCGAAACGCGCACGGGCAGAAACCCAAACTCCCCCGAGGCGCTGCCGGGAGGCCCGTGGAGGCCACCAAGATCCTTCCCAGCGGCGTCTATGAGGCCTCCACCAGGCCCCAAGAAGTTCCCGAAAACTTCGAGGAGGCCTCTGAAAAATTCAGTTGCAGATATGCACAATTCCATCGAAGAGCCCTCCGCCCCAAAAACCAAGCATTGTGGCGCGATCAATCTGGGGCGCTGGATCCGACAAACCCAAAGAGTTGTTGGTGTGCCGAATACTGGATCATTCAAACACTTCAAATACAATCCCAAGAGAGTCTTTGCAAATCCCTCCAGCTACACGCACCATGCGCAAAAGTACACAAAAATCTCGTATGCCTTGTCCGAGACGACGATGACTCCCAAAGACGGTCTCGAAACGTTTCCCAAGTTGCCGCCGGAACAGCCACGACAGACACAGGAGAGACCTACAACTGGCCCCCATGTCAAGGTGCCACCGGATGCGGCGCAAGCCCATGGCATCACACAGAGCCACACACGCGCGTCTTCGCGCGCGCACGTCGCAATCCTTCCAAGACCATTGGCACTCTGAGAATTTCAGCACGAATGTGAGCAACCACATTCGAAAACGCAACGAGTCTGACGCCATCTAGTTGTGTTGGCGATCTCTGCGCGCGTACTTCCGGATCACCTTCTATCAGCACCATGTGTAGCATCGTCGACGGCGTCAGCATTGCCATCGTTACGATCAACATCATGATTACCATCATCGTCATCATCACCGTCGCCGTCATAATCATCACTGTCGTCATCATCGTCATCGTCGATGTCGTCGCCCTCGACAAATCCCTGCGGACGCGCATTTCCTTTTCTCATCACTGTGTCGTCCTCATTATCGCCAGCGTCATCACTGCCACCGTCCTTATAGCTGCGTCTCCATCACCATCGTCATCGTCGACATCGTCCCCACCGTCGTGATGAACATCATCATCGACATCGCCATTGCCGCTGTCGCCTCCCAATGTACTGATGCTCTAAAGTTGCGTGCGAGTGGGTAGGATGGTTGCCCGAGCGTTGGAGCAGACGACTTTAGCATGGACAACTAAACTTTCGCTTGCAAACAAAAACCTCAAACACATCCCCAGGCCTGGACTTCTCGATCACCCCTGGAATACCGAAATGTACACGAGTCTCTGCCTGATCACTCACTTTCCATATGAAGACAAACCATCTCAATCAATGCGGTAACGACCCCCCCGTAATACCTGTCAAGCAACAAGCGAGCACACTCCTACTTCTCAAGAGGTCATGCTTCCACCTTTATCTTCAAAAACAACGAAGCTAACATACTCACACCCACGCACATGTCGAAATCATAAACAGCGCCAAGGCCATGCACGCGATCCAACATGAAACTGAAACCCCATTTGTTTAACCAACCCAAGCATTCCAAACGTTATGCCAGCTCTTATTTGATGAAACGTTATATATATATATATATATATGTGTATAACTTTGTGTGTTGAGACAACTCGCCCAGATGCCGCGTTCTCATCTCAGCACGCAGTGCATCCAAGTTGAACCACCCGCATGCCATTGAACCACGCGCACCAAATAGCGCGCTACCACGCGGGCGTCGACACCCTTCTCAAACAACATTGGTTCCGAAGACGTTCAATACAGGCTGTATGAAACACTCATGCGAACACATCTGCGTTCGACAAAACGTATTCCAAATGTCGTGGGTGCCCGCGTGCGCAATTTCTCACCACCCGCATGATCGCAGTAGCATCGCACTTTCCTATCCTAATCGCCAATCGCCGCAACTGCCACAATCATCATCAGCATCTTCATCAGCAGCACCAGCATCATCATCAACATCATCATTAAAAGCGTCTTCATGATGAACCAATGCACGGCATCATCATCAACATCATCATGATCATGATCATCATCATCATCATCATCATCATCATCATCATCAGCATCATCATCAACATCACCATCAACATCAGCATCAACATCGTCATCATCGTCATCACCATCGTCATCAACATTATTATCATCATCCACATCCTTATCATCATCGCCATCGCCGTCGCTAACAAAAAGGGCCGTCATCAGCATCGGCCGTGCTGTCATCACCGTCATTATCGCCACCACAACCGTTGTTATCATCATCCCCGCCGCCGTTGTGGACGTCATCATGGTCTCGCGCCCGCCCGAACCACCGATCTGCACCGACTCGCCCGAGTGCCAGGGCTGCCTTTGAGACACGCTGGGACGATACCATCGATGAGCGTCATCGCGGCCGAATCAACTATGCTAAACCAACTGGTCGCTCTGCGCGCGAGCGCAACCGCGGCCGTAGAGACGCACAAACAAATTCCACTCGGGAACCGCAATCGTGGCAGAACGGGCTTCGCAAAACAAGTTGCGGGTGGGCGGGTGGGATGTTTGCACGAGCAGTGGAATTGAGGACTTCGAGCTGGTCGAAGTGCACTGCACCACGTATATTGGATTCCATACAGGAGCACCGCATATACCAGCACTCTGCATAGGAGTGCGCTGTAGACATATTGCACCACATGAATTGCGTCCCACATATCGCTCTACACGGATGACACGGAATACGTTGCACATTGTAATATTGCACGATAGATGCCCGCACTGATGCATATGTTGATGGATAATCATGTTCGCTGGTTCACCGTTTCTGTTTGGAAAATTCGCCCAAGACGGCCCTACACACCCCAAAAAGAAGAACCGAGAAGGCTTCCGAGGTAGCCCCCAATATGCTCCAAGATGTCTCCGAAGGGCACAAAAAAACATGAACTGGCAACTATAAGACACTATCTCGGTAACGCATGGTCTCCACGCTCATGACCCACCCATCCGAGGGTCCCAACTCTCGACATGGCCACCCACCCACGTTCCCTGGCCTGCTCCATCTCCAAGACGACCAGCGTGTCGAGATTGATGCTGATGTCGTCCTACGCCCCGACTCGCATGGAGAGTAAAACTGAAACGCTCGGATACGTAGCACCCCGCAATTGCGGATAAGAGTGAGGGGGCGGGCGCGGGCGACGCGGGCGTCGTCGAGCAGGCGGAACTCGTGGCCCCCACCTTCCCTGTCGATGGCGCTCTCCTCCTCCTCCTCCTCCTCCTCCTCCTCTTCCTCGTCCTCGTCCTCATCGTCATCGTCATCCTCCTCCACCTCGTCCTCCTCCTCTTCTTCCTCGTCCTCCCTCTCCCCCCCTCGTCCTTTCATCATAGTCCTCCAATTGTCGTCCTCCCCCTCATCGGCCTCCATCATCGTCCTCCCGTTGTCGTCCATCATCATCAGCCTCCCCCTCCTCCCCCTCGTCCTCCTCCCCCTCCTCCCCCTCCTCCCCCTCCTCGTCCTCCTGCTCCTCCTCCTTCTCTTTCTCCACGTTCTCCTTACATCCTCTCTTCTTCCGCGTCCTCCTCGTCCCCTGTTTACTCCTCCTGCCTCCCCCTCCTTTCCCAAGATAACTGCAACGCAATCCTTTTTTCAACTTTATGCTCCCCGACTTCTCTGATCAAGGCAACTCGCCAGGGCAAAGTTGCTGGACGGGCTGGTGTGGATGCGCGGGGCTTGAAGAGGTCCTTGTGGGCTCAGACGGCATGCAAAAATCCGCCGCCGCGCTTCTGCGGCATCGGTTTGTTCAGTGAACGTGGTTTGGGTCGCGGGTGGGTCGCGGGCTCTCCACCTCCACCTGGAAGGAATGCAAAAGCAGCCCGCCGCAGTCGCCAAAAAAATTGGTTTGTACACTGAGCGTGGTTTGGGTCGCGGTTGGGCCGCGGGTTCACGGATGCAAAAGATGCCCGCCGCAGGCGCCGAGAAATGTGGTTTGTACCCTGAACGTGGTCGCGGGTGGGCCGCGGGTTCTCCACCTGAAACGAATGCAAAAGATGCCCGCCGCAGGCGCCGAAAAATGTGGTTTGTACCCTGAACGTGGTTTGGGTCGCGGGTTTGTCGCGAGTGGGTCACGGGGTGGGTCGCGAGCTCTCCACCTGGAAGGAATGCAAAAAAAGCCCGCAACAGGCGCCGAAAATTGTGGTTTTTACCTTGAACGTGGTTTTGGCCGAAGGTGGGTCGCGGGTGGGTCGCGGGGTGGGTCGCGGGTGGGTCGCGGGTGGGTCGCGGGTGGGTCGCGGGGTGGGTCGCGGGTGGGTCGCGGGGTGGGCCGCGGGCGGGTCGCGGGATGGGTCGCGGGGTGGGTCGCGGGGTGGGTCGCGGGGTGGGTCACGGGGTGGGTCGCGGGTGGGTCGCGGGTGGGTCGCGGGTGGGTCGCGGGGTGGGTCGCGGGTTGGGTCGCGGGTGGGTCGCGGGTTGGGTTGCGGGTGGGACGACGACAACAAACAACAACAACAAACAACAACAAACAACAACAAACAACAACAAACAGCAACAACGAGAATCCGCACCGCGGAATTCCACTTCAGCCACGCACCCAGGGACAGTGAATGACCGTTCGGCCCCCCTCACTCTGATAATAACAACATTCACAACCACAAATGTTACGAATGCGTGGGACAAAGAACATGCTTCGGATCCGAATACGTGTGCCTTGCGACGACGAGCGCAGCACCATAGCGTGTGCAGCCGCTTGGACTGAGATGCCATCTTCCAGAGAAAGTGGAGAAGTACAGCCTGGGGCCCGTCGCGCAGTCCCCGCGAGGGGGCCGAGTTCGTCGGAGTCGGAACGCTCTGTAAAATGAGACAACCTGAAATCACAGAGTAAAGAAATCAAACACGGAAAGACGCCATGCAACCAACATCGGCAGATCCGCTAATGTTAGGAGCAGACTAAACCATTTGATGAAGATGCGCGTCCATCTGCTAGAACGATGTGGTATCTGGCGGCTCCCTGAACACTTCTCGGAGGCCCAGTCGGCGACAACGATCCATCATCAAGGTGTTCTAGAAGGTCGCTTGACAGAAAAAGGGGGTCTCCCGTTGGAGGCCTCTTCCTCCCCCCCAGTCCTCCTCCTTCCTGGGGCTAAGGAGCCTTATGAGGAAGGTGGGGGAAGTAGGGGATGATGGGGACCACGAGGAAAGAGGACAACAACGAGGGGATAAGAATGCAAAGGGTGAGGAACATGAGGAGGGGAGGAGAGGGAATGCTGAAAAGGCAAAAGGTAGAGGACTGATAAGGATGATGAGTGGGAGGAGGAACATGAGGTTGAGCAGGAAGATCAAAAATCTGCAGCACGTAGATTGAGCCTGGATGGGGGCACGATGTTTGCTCACCGCCCACACAAACATCTTGGTCCTGCTCAAGACCTTGGAGCACGGGCTGCGCACAAAAGAATCATCCCCTGAAGCCACGACGTTGCACACAAAACCCCCACAAACAAGTTGGTCCGGCACAAGATGCGCGCGCGGGGGCGGAGGCGAACAATTTGCGCCTGAAAGGGGACGGGCGACGACAACTGATGAACCAAGAAGGGGAAACGTGCGCCTCTTTCTGCTATCGGGAGCGGCCAAGAGGGGGGTGTCCAAGAGGGGGGGGTGCAAATCATGACCGGCGGCATGTGCGCGGCCCAGCGGGGGGGCCTGGGACGTAATAGAATAAGAAGAGGACCATGAAATCTGAGGCACATAAGAAGAGGCAAATCATGGCCCACGCCATGAAATCCCCCCCCCCTAGTCATCACCCCCCTCTTTTCCGCTCCCGACGCTAGAAGCTCGCAGCACGCAGGGCCGGGAATCTCGGCCGAGGGGGGGCGGGCGGGGGAGGGAGGCGACCCAGAAAACCCGAGCCCACGCCCCACGGACACGCTGCTCCTGCGCAAAGGGGGCGCCCGCTTGCTGCTTGCACTGATCTCTCTGCAGCTGGTGGCCGCTCCCGCGGCCGGTCCTTCGTCTTGCACGCCTTCACGGGGGCATCGAACACTATCAGCTGCCTGCGGTGGGCACGATTGAACAGCCGTTCTGCAAGGCATGGTCCTTTTTCACCCGCTCCTCCTCTTGCGGCGCATCCTCCTCCTCCTCTAAGCTTGTTTTACTACGCTTGGCCATTATACTGCCTCCAACTCCCCCTCATCCTGGCCTCCTCCTGCATCCCCACCTCGTCATCGCCTCGTCCATGTCCTGCACGACAAATTTCTCACCCGCATTCCCCTCTCCGTATCCTCCTCCTCCAGATCTTCGTCAAACTACGTACTCATCGTCGACTTCCTCCTCCTCCTCCTCCAGCTCCTACTCCTCCTCCTCCTCCTCCTCCTCCTCCTCACCCCTGCTCCTCCACCTCCTCCTCCTCCTCCGCTCTACGCTTGCTCGCATCAGCGTGGCTATGTCTGAGCTGCCTCACTGGGTCGCTACCAGAGCGCTGATCAAAACAAACTTTGCTGGCCGCCTTATGCTCCTCCTCCGAACCATTCTCCTGCCCTGCACTTCCGCCCCATCCACCGTGTCAAACCTTCTCCCTCATCCTCTTCGCTTACTACTTGAAATTCACGGCACACACCATAATAATCAACGATGGAAGATGGTCATGGAAGGGCTGGAGGGCAGGTCGAGAAAAGACTGTGTGAATGCTGGGGGACACATGGGAGAGGGAAGCGTCGCAGGAAAATGACAAACAGTCCAGGAGGACATTTATTTGATCGGTACGCGAGCCGTGCTGGGCAGCAGGATGATCAGGAGCACAGACAGGAAAGAGGAAGATCAGGAGAACTCGGCTGGGATTGTTTCACCCCATGAACACGACCTCGGAACACAAACATCCACCGAAAGCGAGCTCGGGCACGCAAGCGGCATCGCGGTTCCGTGGCCAGCCCAGCGAACGTCACCACATTCAGTGAAGAGAAGCAGGAGGAGAAGGAGAATGGGGGGCGAGGCGAAGGGACGAAGGCACTATGCGGATAACCCAATATGGCCCAAACGGCCACTTATATAATCCAAAAAACGCACAGCGCAGTCCAGAGGGAAAGAGGAAGAGGAGGAGGATCAGGAGGAGGCGGAGGCTTGCTTCACACAGCGAAATCGCGCCACAGGCTAAAACAATGAACCTTGGAGCATGGAGGTAACTCACATCTGCATCCAACAGTGAAAAAACTTCGGGCTCGAAATCAAGCGACACGGTGAGGAGGGACCAGGACGACGAGAAAAGGAAGCAAGGATGCAGCGAGCAAGAAACACCAAAACTGGCAGGCGAAGTGCCAAACATCTGACGCACTCCCCAGGTTTCTGAATGCGGCCATACCGACTATCAAGACGGCAACGCTGTCGACGTAGGCGGCCAGCACCACAGGACAGTGCGGGCTCGTGACGACTCCCTGGTCAGCGAGCGGCCGCCGCAACCGGACGGCCCATCACCAGCCGCCTCCGCGTACACCGACGCAAGCGCCAGACACTGCCCCTCGTTGCGGGCTGGGGGGGACGATGAAGAAACCAGAAGAGGCGAAAAGCAGGCCGACCCCGAACGGCGACAGCCAGCGCTCCGCCTCCGGGAGGCGAGAGCGGGAGGAAAGAGAAGGAGGGGGGGAACCATTATGCCGCAGTTCGCCTGACCCGCGGTCTCCACCGACTTGCCGAATGGGCCGGAGAGAGCGCCGAGCGGACGTCAAAACGCGAATCCCACGCAGCCCTCTAGGCGTACGTGGTCTGGGGCGGTTTCTCTTCCAACCCCTCCTCTTCCCCTTCGGGAAAGGGTTGACCACTCCGCCTACGCCCTCCCCTGGACCCGGAGGGGGGATTTGCAAGCGAACATAGCATTTAAGATGGCTCCAAAGATGCTCCAAGAGGCTCCAAGACCGCTCCAAGACGGCTCCGAATGGTCACGGACCCTCCACAGGAGGCCGCCGAGAGGCCAAAATCCTCCAAACACCCCAAGCAAATCAATGACATTCGCCTTCTCGCCTTTTTGATTTCGATGACCTTCCGAGGCCTCAGGACAGCTCCAGGAGGGCCCCATGAGGGCCCCAAGAGAAGCCGAAGAGAGCCCCAAAACGGCTCCAAGGGCTCCCAAAAGCGCTCCAACAGGGGTCCAAGACACGATTGTAGGCACTGTGGAGGGGAAAGGCAAATTGGAACTCCTCCCTTCTTTAGCCGATGTCCCCCAAGATGCCTCCAACGGCGTCCACAAGGAGGCCCCAAGAGACCCCCAATAGGCCTCCCAGAGGCTCCTCCTTAGGGGCCCCCCGAAGTACGCAAGAGGCTCACAGGACCGCCAACGGCCCCCAGTTTTCTTTCTCCTTCTCCTCTTCCCCCTCCTCCTTATCATTCGCCTATTTCTCTCCCTCCTTCCTCCCCCCTCCCCCTCCCCCATCTCCTCCTTTTCCTCCTCCTCCTCCTCCGCCTCCTCCTCCTCTGCCTCCTCCTCATCCTCATCCTCCTCCTCTTCCTCCGCCTCCTCCGCATCCCACTCCTCCTCCTCCTCCTCCTCCTTCTCCTCCTCCCTTTTGAAGCGAAGCGGAGGGGGGTCGGCTTTGGTTCCCAGTAGCTGCCCATCCAAAGACCAAGGTGCCTCAAGATGGCACCCAAAATTCTCCCAGAAACCCCAAGAACGCCCCAAGACGTATCCAAGAGGCCTCCGGAACCTCCAAGGAGGTCCCCAAGAGACCAAAACCCTTCCCAAACTTAAGGAAACCAATGAATGTGCCTTCTCGTCATTTCGCTTCCGATGGCTTTCCGAGGCCACAAAATGGTTCCAAAATGGCCAAACAGAGCCCAAAAAGAGGCCCAAGAGAGCTCCAAGACTGCCCCAAGAGCGCCCAAGAGCGCTCGAAGAGCGCCCCAAGAGGGGGTCCAAGAGGTGATGCTCGGGGCTCCCGCGGGGGGGCACTAATTGGAGTTCCCTTGTTTTTTTTTGTTGTTTTTTTAGATGTCCTACAAGATGGCCCCAGGAAGCGCCCAGGAGGCCCCCAAAGGCCCCAAGATGGCCCCAAGGTGGTCCCAAGAGGCCCCCAAGAAGCCTCCAGGAGGCCCCCGAAAGGACCCCAAGCAGCCCCAAGAGGCCCCCCCCCCAGGGACCCCGAAGACGCCCAAGAGCCCCCCAGGACCGCCAAGAGACCCCCAAGACGTCTTAAAAGGCCTCCAAGAAACGCCCAAGAGATATCCCAAGAGGCTCGGGGAGGCATCCTAGAAACCTCTCCCTCCTGCCTCATCCTTCCTCCTCATTTCTCATTCCTCCTCCTCCTCCTCCTCCTCCTCCTCTTCCTCCTCCTCGTCCTCCTCCTCCTCCTCCTCCCCCTCCGCCCCCTATTCGCCCTCCTTCTCCCCGCTCCCTCATCCATCCATCCGGCCTCCTCTGTTTCCTCGCCCCTCCTTCGCACGGTTCAGCCGTCCCCCTCCTTGCTCCCGCAGCTTCCCTGCGCACCTGCACTGGCCTGGACATCCTTTCTGGATGGGCTGGTGGGGATTCTGTGGAACGCGGGCACGCCGAACGCCGTCGAACGCCGCGCCAGCAGGAACAGGCCGTGGCACAAAGCCAAGGGAGAACAGAGAGGCGTGGCACAGCGGTGGGGATGTTGTTCGCGAGCGCGCACGTGCGCCAGGGCGCCGTCAGAGCGAAGCAGCAAGCCACGGCGCCACGATCTAAATGAAGCCCCGAGCGCGCAGAAGCGAACTGCGTTGCGACGCAGAAGGCGGGGAGGACGAGGAAGGGCACCAGGTCCACTTGCAGTGCCAAAAAGGCGACGGGCGGGAGGCCGGCGTACTCGAGGACCACTGGAGGTGGGGACACGCGAAGCGTCTAGAATTGTTTGGAGGGCAGACGACGACAAAAAAGTAAATTCGGACAAATAGAAAAACTTGTTTTAGTGTGCCCAACGCAATGATCTTAAAGACCCCGTTTTTTGTTGTACCGTTTGCTCCCATTACATGGCCAGTCCCAGCCGCCGCCACGGGTCCGCCGAGTCGACGTCGAAAGCAAGTCTGGCCAAGATCTCCTTCAGCTGGGCTTAATCATGAGGATAGACAATGCTGGCTTGTGGAAGCCCCATCGCCGTCACCATCTCGAAGTGCTCCAACACCTCATGGGCGATGAAGGCCTCCAGAATCTCCTGCGGCAGCCGCAAAGCCGAGGAAAAACCAGGCTGCAGACCCCGCAGACGGCAGCGCGGCGGGCGGGGGTGCAGCAGCAGTAGCGGCGATGCCGGCGGGGCGAGCTCCAGCAGCTGCCGGCGGATCAGGTCCAGGTGGAATTGGGACGTCCGCCAGCTGCAGCTCGCTAGCAGCCTGGGTGAGGCAAGACACCCCTCGTCGTCGACAGTGATCATGCTCTCCGCCGCGGCAGATGGAGCGGCGGCGCCTGGTGCAGCGGCCGCCGCCCTGGTGAAGACTGTGCCGAACGGTCGGTGCGCCGCGCAGGCCTCCTCGCCAGGCAGGGCGAGCGGGTCAACCCCGCGGGCCCGGTAAAGCCGGCAGTGCGCCGCCACATTTCGAGCCAAAACGGCTACCGTGCAACCACATGCACACGTTGAGCCAGCACACCTTGAGCCAGCACGCACTATGAAAGGGATAGGGGGGCATCTGGGAGGGATGGAGATACCGAGAACAACGACGAAGGCCAGGGCCACGACTCGCAAAGCGTCGAAGCTCGCTTGAGGAGACATGGCGAGAGCAGGCGGCAATTCTGGGAGCGCGCTTGGAGACCAGGCGGTCGACGCTGTGCCAAGGCCTCCCCAGACAGAGGCAGCCGCACAGGCGGGCGTTAGGAGGCAACTCCTGGGAGGTCTTCGTCGGGGGCCTCGGAGCTGGATTCGGCAGATTCAGCGCAGGATAAAGGTGGATTGAACGGGTTCAAAAGGATTGAGCGGGATGGAGCCAGCTTCAGCGGGATTAAGCCAGAGCAAGCGGTATTAAGGGAGACGAGGACAGTTTCAGACCAGGGATATACCAGCGCCGATGCCTCATGAAACCTTCCAGGGGTTGCATCCTAACGGGCGAGTAGATGCAGAGAGGCAAACAACAAATGAACACCTTAGCCACCATGGTGACGGGAAAACCGAATTAACGAGAGAGGGGGATAGCACGCAAGAGCACGGCACGTTCGCAGCAACAGCAGCGGATGGCATAGACGGGCCACCAGCAGCATGAAGCAGGCAACGCAGCAGAGGTGGCTGCGAATGGAGGAGGGCGGGGGAAAAGGGTTAAAGGAGAAGGAGACGCGCGGTGCAGCAGAGGGAGCACGAAACACAGATCAATGAAAGAGGAACGGGAGAACAAGCGGCACAGAAAAATATCTCTGATATAAAATGTCAATATGGGAAATGGGTTGTGTACAGATACGCTAGTCTGAAGAAGAACTGGAGACAAATGTGAAAGCATACCGATGAAACCACGTAAATGCACGACGCAACAAGGCGATGGGCACGAGACGGTTGTAGCGGATGAAACGAACACTATGGATAGTGGATGCGCTTCAAAGAATTTGCCGTGGAAGCCCGGGGAGGAAGGCGACGAAACACAGACATGGGGAGAACGTGTGACAAGGTGGAAACCAACACAAAACACGAGAGTCGAACTGCCATTGCGAATCAAGGGTGGCCGAAACGAAAGACTTGACAGAGACGCGCGGGATTACTGATACTACTACTTCTACTACGTCTACTACTCCTACTACTACTACTACTACTACTACTACTACTACTACTACTACTACTACTACCGCTACTACTACGACTACTACTACTACTACTACTACTACTACTACTACTACTACTCCCGCCCCTGCTGTATCTACTAGGACTACAGTCACCTTCCACACTTCTGGTGAAAAGAGTAAGAGTACTCGTGCTGTTCCTACGATTGCTAAAACTACTACGACTACTACTGCCACGTCACTACTACTGATCTGACTGCTACGACGAATTCTACTACTACTACTACTACTACTACTACTACCGCTACTACAAGAAATACTACTACCACGACGACTACGACGACTACTACGCCTACTTATTGCAGCTACTACTGCTAGGCTACAATGCTTCTTCTGCCGCTACAACTACAATTTCGACAACTACTACTACTACGACGGCGACAACTACAACTACTACCACGACTACTGCGACTGTGTCTACTACTGTTGCTGATATTACTATTGCGAAACCGACTACCACAGTGTCTGCGACTATTATTTCAAAAACTGCAGCCCCTACGATTACTACAACCGGAACAAGTACTGTGGCGAGTGCTTGTACGACTACGGGTACTACTACGACTACTACAGTTGCTCCTAATACCACTAACTAGTACGAACATTCCGCCTTCAACCTGTACCTGGACTACCACAACGACTTCCGCTACTACTGCTAACAATTTCGACGGCTACTACGAATACCGATGCTAATAAAATTGTTCACACGACTACCACTACCACTAAACTACGTTTCGCGACTGTTGCTGTCACTACGACTCCCACGAATACTACTAGTAGAAGTAGTAGTAGTAGTACTACTACTACTACTGCTACTACTACTACTGCTACTACTACTACTACTGCTACTACTACTACTACTACTACTACTACGAGTACTAGTACTAGTACTAGTACCAGTACTAGTACTAGTACTAGTACTACTACTACTACTACTACTACTACTACTACTACTACTACTGACTACGACTACTACGACTACTAGACTACTACTACTACGACTACTACGACACTACTACTACTACTACTACTACTGCCACTACTACTACTACTACTACTACTACTACTACTACTACTACTACTTCCGAGACGACTGCGACTACGACTACGACTACGACTACGACTACTACTACTACTACTACTACTACTACTACTACTACTACTGCTGCTGCTGCTGCTGCTGCTGCTGCTGCTGCTGCTGCTGCTACCACGACTGCGGCTGCGACCATTACTACTACCACTACTGCTGCTACTACAAATCCGTCTACTACTACGCCTGCGACTCCTTTTTTACACATACGCCTACGACTATGGCTACAACTGCGACTGCGATCACAACTACGACTGCGACTGAGGCCGCGGCTACGACTACGACTACGGCTACTACTGCTCCAACTACTACTACTACTACCAAGACTACTACTACTACTACTACTACTACTACTACTACTGCTGCTGCTGCTGCTGCTGCTACTACTGCGACTACTACTACTACTACTACTACTACTACTACTACTACTGCTACTGCTACTGCTACAGCCACTACGTAACCCTGTACTACAAACATTACTTCTACCGCATTACCCTTTACTACTACTGCTACAGCCACTACGTAACCCTTTACTACTACTGCTGCTACTACTGCGACGACTACTACTACTACTACTACTACTACTTCTACTACTACTGCTACAGCCACTGCGCAACCCTTTACTACAAACATTACGACGATACGTATTACTATTGCCACTACTCCTACTCCAACTGCTACTACTACTGCCGCTGCTACTACTTCTACTACAACGACGAGTACGACTACAATCGCGGGAGCCACTGCTACCACTACTGCAACTACGACGACGACGACTACTATTAATACTAATTCGATTCGTAATAGTACTACTACTACTACTAGTAGGCCTAGTAGTACTACTAACACAACTACAGCTACGACTAAGACTACTACCACAACGGGTACTACTACCTCTACTACTACTACTACTGCTACTACTACTACTACTGCTACTACTACGACTTCTACTTCTACTACTACTACTACTAATAAAAATAATAATAATACTACTACTACTACTACAAATACTACTACTACTACTACTACTACTACTACTACTACTACTACTACTACGACTACCACCACTACTACTACTACTATTACTACTTTAAATACTTCTCACACTGCCCCTACTACGACTACTACGACTAATAACGCCGACTAATACCACCACTACTAAACTACGACTACCACTACTACTACTCCTGCTACTACTACTCCTGCTACGGATACTACTATGACTGCAAGTACTGCTGCTACTACTAGTACCAGCACTGCTACTGCTTCCGCGACTACTATTACGAGTACTACTACAACGACGACTACGACTACTATTGGGGCTGCTACTACTCACTCGACTTGTACTGTCACTACTACCTTTAGGTCTACGTTTACTACGACTACGACTACCACTACCACTACCACTAGTACTACTACTACAACTACTACAACTACGACGACGACTACTAATACTACTACTACTACTACTACTACTACTACTACTACTACTACTACTACTACTCTTACTACTCTTACTACTAATACTACTTCACCTACTGCTGCGACTACTACTTCGGCGGCTACTTGCACAACTCCTTCCACCCCTACTACAACTACTACGACTGCAACGACTACTACGGCCACTACGACTAAAACTACGATCGTTAACACTACTACTACTACTACCACCACTACTATTACTAGTACCCCTACTACTACTACCACTACTACTACTACTACTACTACTACTACTACTACTACTACTAACACTACTACTGCTACTACTACGATCAATGCGACTACATATACTACTATTGCTACCACCACTACTACTACTACTACTACTACTACTACTGCTACTACTAATTCTAATACTCATTGAACTCCTTATACTACTACAAGCACTACAAATACTACTACTACTACTACTACTACTACTATGTTTTACTACTACTACTACCACCACCACCAGCACCACTACTACTACTACTACGACTACTACGACGACTACTACTACTACTACTGCTACTACTACTACTACTACTACGACTACTACTACTACTACGACCCCTACTACCACTACTAGTATTACTGCTGCTACTACTACGACTACTTCGACAACTACGGCTACTCTGGCGACGACTACCACCACGACTACTACTACTACTACTACTACTACTACTACTACTACGCCTGATACGAATACGCCTACTACTACCACCACTACTACTACTACGACGACAGCTAGTTCTACCAATACAACTACGCCCACTACTACTTCTACTACGACTACGACTACGAATACGATAACGACTACGACTACTATCACTGCTACTACTGATACTTCTACTACTACCACTACGGCTACTACTACGACTACGCCTACGGCGACTACTACTACCACTACTACTACTACTACTACTACTACTACTACGACTACGACTACTACTACTACTACTACTACTACTACCACTACTACTACTACCACTACTACTACTACTACTACTACTACTACTACTACTACTACTACTACTAGTAGTACTACTAGTACTACTAGTACTACTACTACTACTACTACTACTACTACTACTACTACTACTACCACTACACAGACAACTACTTCTACTGACACTACGACTACTCATAATACGAATACTACTTCCACTACTGCTACTACTACTACCACTACTACCACTACTACAAGTGCTACTGCTACTACGACTACTACTACGATTACGGCAAATACTACGACGCCTACGACTAGTACGTCTACCACTACTACTACTACTACTACTACTACTACTGCTACTACTACGACTCCTTCTACTGCTACTACTACTACTACTACTGCTACTACTACTACTACTACTACTACTACTACTACTACTAGTTCTACTTCAACTAATACGTCCAATGATACTACTGACTACGACTACCTCTTATACTACTACTACTAGTACAACAACTACTACTACTACTACTACTACTACTATATGATCACTGCTACTACGACGACGACGACTACTACTACTACTACTACTGCTACTACTACCACTAATACGACTACTACTACTACTACTACTACTACGACGACTACTATGACTACCACTACCACTACGACTACTACTACTACGGATACTACTACGACTACTACTACTACTACTACGACGACGACGACGACTACGACTACTACTACTACTACTACTACTATTACTACTACTACTACTACTACTACTACGACTACGACTACTACGACGACTACTACTACTACTACTACTACTACCACTACTACCTACTACTACCTACTAATACCACTACTTCTACTCCTACTACTACTACTACTACTACTACTACTACTACTGCTACTGAAACTACTACTACTACTACTACTACTACTACTACTACTACTACTACTACTACTACTACTACTACTACCACTACCACTACTACTACTACTACTACTACTACTACTGCTACTACGACTACTACTAGTACTACTAGTACAACTACTACTACTACTACTACTACTACTACTACTACTACTACTACTACGACTACTACAACTACTACTACGACTACGACTACGACTACTACTACTACGACAACGACAACGACTACGACTACGACCTTCCGACTTCGGCGGGTGAACCATACCCAAGCAAGGCAACCCAGCGCCCCGCCACACGCAGTGGAACCCGGGCTCCCAGCTGCCGTCCTCCGCGTCGCCCGAGATCTGGGCGCGGCACTGGCTCGCGAAGAGCACAACGAAGCGGAAGGGGGCGGGAGCAGGTGGGAAGCGGGAGAAGTGAGAGAGGTAGGGGTGAAGGACAAGAGGGAGGAGGAGGAGGAGGAGGAGGAGGAGAAGGAAGAAGACGCTCGGGAGGCGGCGAAGGAGCAGGTTGGCATGGAAACCTCGGGTTGGCACCACTCCAGCGGGCTGATGAGGAGAAGCAGACAGCCTCCTCATACATATCTGTGGATGTAAATATGCAGCACTAAAGATGGACCGATCACCCGTTCTCTTTCACTCCCAGTCCCCCTGCTCTGGCAGCAGACTAAAAACTCGCCACGGTGCCCAGAGACACGAGTTGGAGTGTCCTGAAGTCCGTTCAGTCCTCCTTCCCAAATCCTGGACGGATGTGTGGTTCAGGACCCGGACCTACAATTCCCGAAGTCTCCAGGGTGTGCCGCGTGCCTCGCGGGCGTCCCGCATGCCCCCGCTGGACGCACTTGGAGGCCAGGGCGCCCCAAACTGGTCCAAGAGGTCCCCGAGTCGGCCCACGAGCTCTGCAAGACTTCCAAAAATGGATTTAGACGACACAAGAGGCCCCCCAAACACCCCAAGAGGCACCGAGGGGTCCAGAAAGAGGGCCCCAAGAGGCAGAAATGATTGATGTTCGCTCGGATTTGAAATTATTTGGGCTTTCTCGGCGTTCGGGCTGCTCAAAGACGACCCAGGAGGCCCACAACTGCCCAAGATCACCCAACCCAGCGACGGGCCAAAACACGAACTGGCATGTCGAGCCTCCGCCCAAAGATGACTCCCAAGACCACCAGCAGACCCCTAAGAGCCCCCTGGACGCTCCAGGCGGCCCCAAAGAAGCCCAAATCATGCCCCAAGAGGTTCCCGAAACCAAGGCACCTCAAAAAAAACCCTCCAAGAGACTTCCCAGAATCATCCCAAGATATCGCCTCGGACATCCAAGACACTTCTCACGTACAACCGAGTCTATAGATTTATAGGAGCCAACATGGATCCAGACATACACAAGCATACACAAGTCATCCGTCTTCCATCTTCGGGAGCGGCCAAGAGGGGGGTGTCCAAGAGGGGGGGGTGCAAATCATAACCGGCGGCATGTGCGCGGCCCAGCGGGGGGGCCAGGGACGTAATGAAGCAAGAAGAGGCGACATGAAATCAGAGAAAAAATCGTGGCCCCCGCCATGATATCCCCCCACCCCTAGTCATCACCCCCCTCTTTTCCGCCCCCGCCATCTTCCTTCCCCCGCCCCCCTGCCCTGTCGGCCGATCATCCCCTCCCCCTTCCCCTTCCCCTTCCCCCTTCCCCCTTCCCCTTCCCCCATTCCCCGTCCCTCCCCTTCCCCCTTCCCCGACATCTTTCCTCCCCGTCCCCCTTCCCTGTCGGCCGCTCACCCCCGACGAGCATCACAGGATGGTCAGACCACGCGGCCCCGAAGTCCGCCCTGCGGGCCCCTAGGCGAGACACGGCACGCCGAGGCCAGCGCTGCCGCTCGCCCGCATGCCAACACGGACCTGGCCATCGCTCGGACGTCCATTCCCTGTGTTTTTTCGTCGGTTTCGTGAGTGTTTTTTTCGCCAAATGATCAAGGATGCTCCTCGATGGCCCCCGCCGAAGGAGAAATGCACACGTCCAAGCGATGCCAAGGGACGAACGAGGGTGCGAGGGGAGTCCACGGCGCATGGGCTGTGCCGCACTGGGACTCGGGAGGCATGCGACCACGGCCACGCAGGCGCACGCCCTGAACACCCTCCCTCCCTCCCCCTCTTCCCACTCCTCCTCCCCCTCCTCCCTCCTCCTCCCTCCTCCTCCTCCCTCCTCCTCCAGCTCCGCCTGTTCCGCCTCCTACCCCTCACACACACACGCATCCTTCGTCGGCCCCTATTCCCTTACTTCTCACTTTCCCTGCTGCGCACACACACACACGCTCACTTCAAGTCAGCGGATGCAAGCGAGCTGGAGGAGGTGCAACGGGTCTACACACACACGCACACATCCTCCATCCCTCCCCCCTCCCTCCCCCCCAACACACACCCTCGCACCCACACCCACACCCAGACACACTTGAAGAGTACAGGAGGCGAGTAGGCCCTGTCATGATGCTCACCGTGTGCCACATGATCAACAGGTAGTCCTCTCCTAGGTTCGTTGCCCCACCCCCGTTGGGCACCTGCGCCCATACCTCACACTGCCATGCGGCATGACAGTGTTGGCCATGTCCCTGATGCTCCTGGGCCTCCCCAAAGGGCCGGCCCGCTCAGCACAGACGAGGAGCCGCCAGGGAGTCTCCAACGGCCGCGGCGGCGCGGGCGGTGAGGCCGGAGAGTTGGCGGCACGCACAGGGGGGTGGAGGAAGGGGGGGGGCTTCTGAGAAGGAGGCTGCTTCTTGGAAGGCGCCGGCCTTACATTTATAGATAAGGCCCGCGCCTTCTAAGAAGCAGGGGTGCTTCTAAGAAGCCCTCCCCCCTCCCCCCACCCCCCTCTGCGCGTGGCTGAGAGAGGCTGCTGAGGCGCATACGTCCGCCCCGAACCTCGAGACCATGGCGACGAAGCCTTCGCGGGCGCGCGCCGCGGCGGACAGGGCCGACCTTCAGACGGACGAAGGAGGGGCCGGCCCTTCGAGTCTCGAGCTGCGGACTTGTCTGTGAGGCCAGCCCCTCCTCTTCCTCCGCCTCACCCGCCTCCCCTGCCTCTTCCGCCTCTTCGACTAGAGGCCTCCTAGATGGGGTCCGAGTAGATGGGGTCGGAGGATCGCGCCGCATCGCCAATACATCGCCTAGGTATCGGTGATGCATCGGCGATGCATCGGCGACGTCGGCGATGCATCGGCGACGTCGGCGTGGGGAAACACGGTCTCCACATCGAGCCGCGTCGCCGATGCATCGGCGATACGGAGCGATCCTTCGACCCCTTCTACTCCGACCCCATCTCGGAGGCCGAGATCGACCCTCGATCCTGGGATCCTCGATCCTCGATTCGCCGACCGGGCCGACCTTCCGACGGACAGGGGGGCGACGGCTGGGTCACCCAACTGCGCGCACCGCGCCCAGCGATGCGCGATCATCTCCGCTCGGCGGCGAGCGAGGGGGGGAAGACAGAAGGAGGGAACCTTCCAAAAAGGCGGCGGGGCTTCTCAGCAGCACTGAAAAGTGCTGTGTGTTGTGCCTCTGGGGAAGGCTTGGAAAACTTTTGGACGCCCGAGTTATCCGGGGTAACTCGGGTCTGGGGTAACTCGGGTTCGGGTTCCCGAAGAACGAACCCGAGTTAGCCCTGACCCGAGTTACCCCTGATGATTCGGGGCTCAGGACGCCCGAAATATCCGGGGTAACTCGGGTCCGGGGTAACTCGGGTTCGGACTCCCGAAAGCGAACCCGAGTTAGCCCTGACCCGAGTTACCCCTGATGATTCGGGGCTCAGGACGCCCGAAATATCCGGGGTAACTCGGGTCCGGGGTAACTCGGGTTCGGACTCCCGAAAGCGAACCCGAGTTAGCCCTGACCCGAGTTACCCCTGATGATTCGGGGCTCAGGACGCCCGAAATATCCGGGGTAACTCGGGTCCGGGGTAACTCGGGTTCGGACTCCCGAAAGCGAACCCGAGTTAGCCCTGACCCGAGTTACCCCTGATGATTCGGGGCTCAGGACGCCCGAAATATCCGGGGTAACTCGGGTCCGGGGTAACTCGGGTTCGGACTCCCGAAAGCGAACCCGAGTTAGCCCTGACCCGAGTTACCCCTGATGATTCGGGGCTCAGGACGCCCGAGTTATCCGGGGTAACTCGGGTCCGGGATAACTCGGGTTCGGACTCCCGAAAGCGAACCCGAGTTAGCCCTGACCCGAGTTACCCCTGATGATTCGGGGCTCTGAAACTTCTCAGAAGGCCAGGGGACTTCCGAACATTCGGAGAAGGCCCGCCGCTTCTCGCTTCCCCCCTGCGCTGGCCGCCGACTCGTGACCTCCCGCCTCCGCGCCGGCTCCCGTGACTGGCCATCGCTCGGACGTCCACTCCCTGTGTTTTTTCGGTCTCGTGCGTGGTTTTTTCGCCAAGTGATCAAGGATGCTCCTCCATGGTCCTCGCTGGAGGAAAGATGCACACGTCCGAGCGATGCCGAGGGGAGAGGTCGACTAAATCTTCGCGCCCCCGCCCGTGCTGTGGCGGCAGCGTGATCCTGCCCCTGCGGGGGGGTCAGAGCACGCCACGAGCAGGGGCAAGGGGGCGGACCTCTCGTGTCGGCGCTGGGACCTCTCGGGCTGCGCATCCAGCCCCGCCCCTCACGCGCTCCGTGCGCCAGGTACCGCCGATCCCCCCCTCCGCAAAACACGCGCGGACCTTCGAAAATGGTTCGTTCCTTCTCAACATCGGCTTGCCCCCCATCGTATATCGGCCTCGTACTGCCCGGCTCTGCCCCCCTTCTGCTGCTCGCGAGAGCTGCGTGCACCAGTGCAAGATTGTCTGGGCCATGCCCCGCAGGGCCCTGTGGCAACTCGCGGGGGCCACCCATACTATTTTGCTGGCTCTTGCGAGTCGGCGCTAACCGACGCCAGCTGACGCTGAGTCAATGCTGATCGACGCAAAACCGGCGCTTTCTCATCGACGACTGGACGCTAGCGCATGCCTTTTTTAAAAAGTGAGTTCCGAAGACCTACAACAAGGCTCCCGCGAATTGCCACCGAAGCACGGCAATGCGGGTCCTGCGTCGGGCATGCATGAGCCGTCGGACCGGGTTGTGTGCGGGGGTACCGAACGAATTGTTTCTCCTGTAGCGTTCGTTACCCGGGGGGCTGAGGCCATGGGAAATGGTAGCGCGCGGGCGGGGTGGGGCACGTCGGGGCGGGGGAACGCTGCGATCTCCATATCTTGCGCGCGAGCACGAAAGACCGTTACGCAGCAGAGGATAACACACAATCTGCAAGCAGGCCATGGACGCCAAACTCCAACTGAACGAAGCAATATAAACCTGGCCACAGATCATGAAGAGGCGCTGGCGACTAGAGTCCTCCAGCCTTACGTACGCAATGTAATGGCATCAGGCGCAATGCAATGTGGAGTACTACGCGTCCTCCTTGGCGGTGTGCGTATGGCAGTATATCGTTTCCAGAGCGCTATGGTCTGACAAGGCCCGCCACGGAGCCCATACCAGAAGCCTTCCCCGTGCGCGCGTCGCCCCTCGGGGAGCGACGCGCACCTAACATTGTTACTACGCTTGGGTGACGCCGATCCCTCCCTCTTTCCCCATCATCCGCATGGTTCTCCCGCAGAGAAGATCCCGCATC